CCCCTCAGAATAAAAAAAAAAAAAAAAAAAGAGAAGAGAAGAAGAAACTGGTCATCACAAGTGCATCCAAAGCTAAAAATCGCTAGACACTGTCACATGGGAAACAGATAACCAAAATCATGAGCATGTTACAATTTCATTAAATCAAAACATTCCCCATGCCTCTGACTGATATGCCATTCATTTGGATCAGAAATTCCAACAGCAGCTACTCGCATACCACCACCACATACTGCAATCAGGGATTGATCCAATTAAAACAAAAACGGACACCGAAATCCAGATTGTAGCGCACAAGTACACAAAACACATACATGCAGTATACACTGATCACAAACATAAGATCAATTCAGCATACATCTACAAATGTGTCACTGTATTGATCCCATACTGCTGAAATGTCATCTGTCTGACAGGTTTCAGTCACATTCCAGCCTGCAGAGCTAGCCTGGGTCAATTCAAAATGAAGCCAGTGATCGTATCCATTACATAGCAGACAGACAAATGCTCCCTGATATCCACTGCACCCAGATGTACATACATGCTGCTGAAGGCTGCGGCACAGTCACAGCATTGTGGTGGACGGCCTCTGAGCGCTCAAACGTCTAAAAGGTCACCCGGCGCCGGGTGTAGTAGAGCAAGGAGTCCGGCACAGCGCCTATAATGCGCAGCCGGCAAAAACGCCCTGTCTGCCATTGGTGAGCACTGCGGATTAACCCGTGCGCCGCCGGCAGACTGTCACATGTGCAGCATGCAGCTCCCCCATGACTCCAGCCTGTGCCCATGACATACTCTGGGCCGACACGGCCCTCTCGCTGTCCTTTACTGTAATACGCACATCCCACCACAGCAAAAAAGGCGATGGCCGATAACCATGAGCCTGAAAGCCGTGGCAATGTCACCCTAGGCAGGCACACAGCTGGAGATCAGGCGTCACCCCCGGCATTGGCACCTTGCAGCCGGTGTATTGGCACACAGGGAGGTAGAGCCCTTCACTGGCACTGATATACTTCTCTACGATAAAAATCGTACGCCCAGGTGCAGATGAACCGGTGACCCGATCAGGGAAAAGGGGAGGGGGTGACATGTTAGTCCTGGAATGCAAGGACCAGTGCCTGCAATGTGGGACTGTCCCTGGCAAGGGCAGCTGGCACCTCCGCCCGGGGCTCTACACCGCATGCCAGGCCGGATGGGCCGGCACGTAGCAGCGGAGGCTGACACAGGCCTCCCCACTGGGCCCGGGATGAAGATGAGGCCTGGGGAGAAACCCGCGGCCTAGTGCCTCGACCCTCCGCCTCCAACGCCCTTTAATAACATGGCTTCTCCCCCCGCAGACATCACCCACCTGCCCATGTTCTGCCTGCCTCCTCCTCCACCTCCTCCGGGCGCCGGCACACTGCTCCCGCCGGGCTTCCTGCTATTACCGCTCTGCTTCATGGACATAATGACGATCCCATAAACCACCAGCGACAAGTCCGAGAAATGAAACAAGAAAGCGACGGCTTCTCCTCTTCCTCCTCCGGGCTTTAGTTAGGATGGCAGCCTATAGAAAGCTCCGTGACACAATGCACTCCGACAACGGGGGCCTAGCGGCGACGTGACGCCAGGGGCTGTGGCTGGAGGCCTCACCGGCCGCTGTGAGGGAAGAGCAAAGAGAAGGAAGCCTCCGCGGTTGCCACAGGCGAGCAAGACCAAAACAGTCTGAGGAGGAGAACGGGCCCGCGGAGGAATACACTCCGGCTGCCGTTACTATATCCGCCGACAACGCGTCCACAACTTCCGCGCAGAGAAGCGCGCCCAACGCCGAAAATAAAACCGATCCGTGACACCGCCGACCGAAACTAAAGGTCGTCAAGGCTGTGGGGGCAGCAATAGGTGAAAGGGGAGGTATCAAGGCAGGGACTATTTACGGGAAGTCGGAAGGATACCTGAGCGGAGGAAGGCGGAGAAGAGACTGGGAGCACGTGAGCCGGTCTGTGCCGCTGTGGAAGTAACACAGTGTGATAGTTGTGCGAAGGGAGGGGGGCGGCGGCGTGTATTATGTGCTGTGTATACGCCGCACGATTCATCAGGTGCACATGTACTGCTTGTATATATAGAACACGATCATATTTAGCATTCGCACAAAAGGGGAGGATCGCTGGGGGCCAGAGCTTATTACACACAGGCGTGGGTTTCATCAGATGCGTTGTGCTGGGCAATGATGCCCTCTACACTCCCAACACATAAGGTCATTTGCCTTGACTCCTATCAAGTTGGTGGTGTGCACTGCAAAACGGTACTACATGCAGTACATGGGGGGGACGGACCGGGGGACCTAACTTAAGTGTCACTTTGTGATATTTCAATAAAGTTTGGGGGGGGGTGAAAGTGTGATGCGCTGAAATCAGCACATTGCACCATTTCCTAACAGCACTCATCAATGGCCATTGGTGAGTGCTGTTAGGAAATAGTGCAATGTGCTGATTTCAGTGCATCACACTTTTTTCCCCCAAACTTTATTGCAATATCACAAAGTGACACTTAAAGTGATATTAAAGGCAAAAAAAGTTTCCCTCCCCCCCATGTAAATGTTAGCACTTACCTTTAAATGATGTCTCTTTCCGATCTTCATCTTCTTTCCCCATGTTTTCATCTGTCCCTCCAGCGGTGTGACGTCACTCCGATCCTACCGTTTTTCAGTGCACACCACCAACTGGATAGGAATCAAGTAACACTTAATTTAGGTCTTTTCCCCCGATGTACTGCATGCAGTTGCGTTTTGCAGTATAGCTATAGCGCACACTGCTGGTGGGAACAGATCCCTAGGGTTCTTTCACACCTATAGCCGTGACTGGCGCTTTCAGCAAATGATCAACAATTGTTTTCTATGTGTTCTGTTCACACCACAATGCGGGGGTGATGTGCAAAATAAATGCAGACGTCCTGAATTTTTTCGCAGCACACCGGATGGCACCGTAGGTCACTGGAGTACATTGTGCTGCTGTGTGGAAACCTGAATGTTGCGTACTCTCCAAATAAAGTAAAAGATCCCACTTAAACCTAACCACTAAACCATCACTTTCTCAAACAATTCATCCCCACACAGCTACCTCCTCATGTATCACTGGCCCCTCCCTTTTAGATTGTAAGTCATCACGGGCAGGGCCCTCCTTACCGTCTTGAATTGTATTGTGATTGTAATTCCTTATTTTGTAAAGCGCAGCACAAACTGTTGGCGCTATATAAATCTGGTATAATAATAAAAAGAAACAATAAATAGTGTGATGCGCTGAAATGTCACATTAACCCCCCACCTTAGCACACGAGCTTTATAGCATATAATGGCTGATGTGCACGAGCCCAATGATGAAGCCTCATTAAATCTGAATGGTAGTGTTAACCTGCACAATACATATTTGCTGGTCTGATAACAACCCAAGCTAAAGGGTGTTTTCTTTTTTTGTTGTTCATAGTTTTAATAATGATTTTTGACAACAGCAAAGATTAAAGGAGAACTATGGGGTTAAGGCTTTTCACCATAGTTCTCCTAAGGGTAACGGGAGGACACAAACTAGCGTCCTCCCATCACCCAAAGCTCAGCATACCGCGAGCTGCGGCTCGCGGTATACTGAAACGCCGCCGCCTGGACGGATCCCGACATTACTGTCGGGATCCTCCCAGCTGCATGAGTGACAGCTGGCTCTGCCTATCTAGAGGCAGAGTCAGCTGTACCCGCCCCCTTCCGTTCCGCCAGTCAGCGCTGGAGGATCGGACAAGGGAGGGCGGGAATCCCTGCAGGGAGCTGTGAGTGACAGTCACGGCTCTCTGCAGGGACAGGATCGAGAAGTGAGCGAGCAATGGTATGTGTTTGCTCACTTCCCGATCTATTGAGCCGACCTGTGACAGTTTCATTGTCACAGGTCGGCTAGAACTATGAGGCTGAGTGATTTTCACTCGCCTTATAGTTTTACTTTAAATATAACAGAAGTTACAGAGGCCACATGGTAAACATTGCAGTAGATCTGAAGGCTGTTTTTGAATTGATCCATGAATGATGGTGTGTGGGTGAGATATTTGGTGACAGATTAATTTGGTTAAATTTGTTGAATGTAATATAACAGGGGACGCTCCCCTCTGTATGTTACAATAGTCCCTTTATTAGAACGTCATCCATTGTGGTTTCAGTAAGACGTTGTCTCACCACACTTTGCTACTGCTGAGGATTTTTTTTTTAATGAAACGTCACCAGTCAGATGGATGGGAAGATGAAGTCCAGTTGAATGGCCTCCTAGGTCTTCAGATCTAACACCGCTCCAATTTTCTGTTCGGGGTCATCTGAAATCCATAGTCTATCAAAATCAGCCCCACGACAATCATTGCACTGAAAGAGGAAATCATCTCAGAATGTAACAACATCAATTCCATTACATCAAGAAATGTTCAACGTTCTTGTATTCAGCGTTTACACAAGTGTTGGCAATTGGAGAATTCACTGCAGTACATCTTTTGCATACATTGTTTGCCTATGAATCCAGACTTCGGGGACTCCTTGTATATACCGCGTTTCCCCGAAAATAAGACACTGTCTTATATTTTTTTTGGCTCAAAAAAACACACTAGGTCTTATTTCTGGGGTAGGTCTTATTTATTTATTTATTTTTTTAATGTACAACAATCCACACTTATTCCTGTAGAAAAGAGCAATTTGCTAACCAATCGCTTGCCAGAATGAGCGAAGCGCACTTTCACTATCGATTCCTCACAGGTGGAGTGCATTTGGTATCACTGCGCCTGTGACAGGAGCCGGCGCTATAGAGGCATCTGTTCCAGCCAGTGACTAGACAGTGAATGTTGACGTAGCCCAGTGATGAGCTCATCACTCTGCCACTTTGCTTTCTCTTCCTATCAGCATGCTTCTTGTCAGCACATGAAGTGATTGGCTCAATGTGCTGCTGAAAGAGGCTGATACCAGATCAAATTCAAGTAGGTACACTGCTTGCATTTATCCCCCATCACTTTTTTTGTTTTTTGCACACCGCAGAGCCTAATTGGATACTGGTGCTTGTCCTTCCTCTTGCGTTCAGAATATACACAAGAGGATTATAAGATTGCTTCTTAACATTAGACTGACATGGAATGTCTGTGGCCTTTTACTGACTATATCTAAGTCTAGTTTTGCTTCAGTTAGTTACATCCAACTCTTACTAGTAATTTGTCATTAAAATTTAAAGTGACATTAAACCCTCAGATTTTTTAACATGAAACAATACTGTAATGTGCGCCTTACTGTAATCCATGGTGGTTTCCCTTCTCTTTGCTGCTCTTCCTTTTAAATCCTCATGTCTTCTCATGCTGGGCAGAACTTCTGTTTTGCAGCAGACTGCCTTGTCTCTGAAATGGATACACGGTGTCTGTGTGTACGTTTGCAACCTGAGCCAGCACTACAGGAAGAGGCAGTCAGCTGAAAAGGAAGTTCTCCCCAAGCATGAGAAGACATGAGGATTTAAAAGGAAGAGCAGCAAAGAGAAGGGAAACTACCATGGATTACAGTAAGGCACACATTACAGTATTGGTTTATGTTAAAAAATCTGAGGGTTTAATGTCACTTTAATGCATGGATACATTTCCTGAACAGTCTTTTGCAAACACACAGTAATACTGCTAGCCCCATAGAACAAGTACTGCTCAGAGCATCCCTATTTCCAGCCACTGGGATACACATTTACTCAGATTAGTTATCGTAAATAACTTTCATTTTCCATATTCCTGAACACAGTGCAACATTTCCAATGATGAGTGCATATGCTAATTCCCAGAGTTCTTTTTGTCCCTCATAATCATAGTGTAGAATGGTACCATATGTTCTCCTGCACACAGTATATACTGCAAAGAACAGTTAACAGTCTCAGTGCACAGATGTAAGCAAATCCCATTTCACAGGGGAGTCTGCCAATTTTGTTACTACACCTTGAGTAAATATGAGCTAAGTGATTCATTTAAAATGATTCTCTTAAATAACAATCTAGTCAAAAAGTTAAGAAAATTAACAAATGACAGATATTTTAATGGCACATATAAACAAACCAAGTACAAAGACCATTTAAGAGGGTTCCCAAGTCATTTGTAAAATGGAATTTTACCTTTTCATCATTTTTGGGAGTCAATCTAACCATTCTGTAAGGACTTTTTTAGGTCCTGTGTCAATGGGCTTTTTTACACTTCCAGCGGGTTTTGCATTCCTATATATCCTACCAGTTTATGGATATGCAAAACCGGCCTAATGCAGGTCAGATGCAGCTGTCATTTATTTTTGACACTTCTGAGAACATATGAATGTTCTCAGAAGTGTCTCCTACTGGTGTCACTGACACAAGTCTAAAGCCTGTTGGCATAGTCTCTTAGAGTAAAATCATCTATGTAATCATCATATAATCATGGCGTGAGACCCCAGCCTGTCCATGAACCCACAGGGACTCACCACAATTTTAACTTTCTGCTTGGCTGACACACTAGTAATTTGCTTATGCTCAGGGCCGGTGCTAGGATTCTT